CAGGAAGGACCCCAACTCTTAACCTGACCAAAGGGGGAAGATCATTTGGGCCTCTGGAGAAAAGTAGCCCCTGAAAAGTGTGGAAAAGGCTGAGGGTAAAAGGACATCTTTGAAACTGAGCTGATGATTTTTTTTTTCTTAGTGGGTGGCAAAACTGAATTGGGATTTGGAACAGGGGACATGGCAGCTGGGCAGGCCTCTATAATTCCCAAAAGGCCAGGAGCCTCCTGCTCAGCACTTAGGCCTACATTACTTTCCCTGGAGAGTTTTTCAGAGTTTTTTTCTGGCCAGCTGGTGGAAGGCCAAGATGGAGCCCATCTCGGCCCCACCTGAGGTTTCTGGCCCTCTTAGTCCTCCAGTCATGAAGGCCTGTTTCTTGGCCCAAGCAGCATTGACCAAGCCAGGAACTTAGGTGATTAAGAAAGCCTGCTGGTAAGCATCCTATTTGCCCTTCCCTAAACCCTAGATTTATTGAGAATGATCCTAGGGTATGCCAGGTGATGGGAGAGGCAGACCCCCTGGAGAAAAGACAAGTGGAAGGGCAATGGAGTAGGGGAAACATTTATTTGACTTCAAGGAAAGCTACAAACAAATACCAAAAGCAAACCACTGAGACAGGCCTGGCAAAGACAGATTTCACACATAGCACAGCATCCACTCACTCACTACAAATGGCCTTGGAAGCGAAATGGATAGGGAGGAAGAGATGGGTCTGACCCAGACTATCCCCATATTTACAAGCTTTGGGTCCTCTAGCTAGACCCACAGAGAAATACACAAGACATTTTACACTGAGTATTATTTGTTTCCGCACACTCCCAGACCAGGCCTTGTGGGGCCTACCAGGCAGAAGGAACTTAAAATCTCACTATTTTCCTTCCCTCTTCTCAACATCATCCTGTGGTACTCCCTGGCCCCTTCTCAGCCCAGGACCAAGTCACTGGGAGACATGGGCCCTGAGAGTGAGGAAGGAGGAGAAGGAGGAGGGGGGTGAAAATAGACACAGTCATGGACTCCATCTCAGAGGCCAGCTCAGCTGGGCCTGGGGATGTGGCACCCCACCTCAATTGCTGCCTCTTAGCGAAGTTTCCAGCTGAAACTCAAAAAATACAGCTATCATTCTTTTATAAATAAGTTAGAACACAGGTGGGAAGGGGAAAGTTCACATTAAACATGCGAATTTCTTTTTTTTTTTCCCCTGGGGGAAGGAGCGCAACCACAGACACGAACATTCAGAAACACTGGCGGATTTGGGGCGAGCAGAGGGGAGTGGGGAGCATGGAGGGAAAATAATAAGGATTATTATTATTATTATTATTAACAATAATAACAAGATAACAAGTCCAGGAGAGAGGGAGCCACGGGAAGACATAAGACCGAACGAAAAATTGTAACACAAGGCCAGGGTGAGGCAGGCTCATGGGAACCGGTCCCCAGCGGTCAGCGGCAGCGCAGGGAGGATCAGAGGGGTCGGGGCTGGGGGTGGCCCGGGCTGTGGGGCTGCCCAGAGCTCCTCCGTGCGGGTTCAGGGCTGGAAGGCGCTGCCGGCTGTAGCCAGGCTCATACTTTTCAGTTTGTTGTCTTTCTTCCACTTCATGCGCCGGTTCTGGAACCAGATCTTGATCTGGCGCTCAGACAGGCAGAGCGCGTGGGCGATCTCGATACGCCGCCGCCGGGTCAGGTAGCGGTTGAAGTGGAACTCCTTCTCCAGCTCCAGGGTCTGGTAGCGGGTATACGCGGTCCGGGCCCTTTTCCCGTCCGGCCCGGTCATATCTGGAGTAGAGAGAGTAGAGCCACAAGGCAACAGTTATTCTGGTTACAGGAGGGGGGCACTGGGTGGGAGGGGGCGGGGAGCAGGACCCGGGCATCCCCAGCACCCAGCTCACGCAGCTCCCATCCTCCCCACTCCAGATGCCCGCGTCCAGGCTCGATTTCTGCGCCCGTTTCTCCTTCAGCTCCTACTTTTGCTGGCAGCGAATGCGCCCGGCTTTGTCTCTTGCTCCCTCCCAGTGCCTCACCCTTCGCTGGGCTCAGGCGGCCGCTCGCCCCGGGAGGGAGGAGAGCGGCTGCACTTTTGCCCTAGAAAGCTCCTTTTACTGCTCACCCCTCCTTTGCCAGCGGTAGTCTCGAATTTTCGGGGGTAAGCAGGACCCTTCCCCACATTACATAAACCCCAACCTTCAGAGTAAAGCTGGCTTACTGGCTGGATGAATAAAACCTACGACAAACCTGGGAACAAATTATTTAAAATATCCCCCCCTCCCAGCAAAAGACCCTGTTTGGCTCTGTCCACGGAGCTGTGAGAATCCTCTTAGGGACTTCTTCCCCTTTAGAAAAATAAATCTATATTTGAGGAAAAGCCTTCCTCAAGCTCTCCTCGTCCCCCCTCCCAAACGCAGAGAAGGAAAGCCGAGAAGACAAAAAAAGAGAGACAGAATTACCATGGCTGATGTGAAGCTTCCTCATCCAGGGGAATATCTGAGGAGTCTGCCCCTCGGGCGCGGCTGTGGAGGTGGCCATGGGTTCTGGCTGCGCCCGAGCTAGGCTAGGGCTGCTTAGCTGGCTCGCGGCTTCCTCAGGCTCCGAGGACGCGCTGGCCTCGTCTATTTCGGTGAAATTGGCGCTGGAGCTGGCGGGGGTCGCTTGGTCGGAGGGGGACGAAGCAGAGGGCTTTGCGCCGTGGTTATCACCGTTGGTGCAGGGAAGGGACTCGGGCGAGGACAGGGAGCAGCTCGACGCCGCTTGCCTGAAGCGGGGCTCCTGAGAGGGCGCAGGGAAGGCGCGGGAGCTCTCGCCCACCGCCCCAAAGTGGCTGGAGGAGGCCGAGGAGCGGTTGACGCTGAGGTCCATCCCATTGTAATTGTAGCCGTAAGAGCCGGTGTGCATGGCAGCGGGATCCCTGTAAGAGCCGCTCAGAGAGCTGCCACTGCCATAATTTAGCAACTGATAGTCCGGGCCATTTGGATAACGCCCCGAGAAGGAGTTTACAAAGTACGAGCTCATTTGGGTGATTTTGGAGGGCTTGATTTGTGGATCGTGGTCGTTATAACCCTGTGCTTCACGATTTATGATGTATTAATGAATTATAGCGATGCACTGTACTTCGTTTTGCTATGTATGCGGCCAAATATGGGGGGGGGGGGCTGAAAGGGGGATGGGGGGGCGTTAGGGAATCACGTGCTTTTGTTGACCAGTCGTAAATTCTCGCTGATGACCTCAAGAGGTAATTCATGCTCTATGGTTACAAATAATGACGATCCGAGAATCGTTAGGGCCGATTCAATGCGAGCCTCCGAGAGGGGGGAAAAAGGAGAAGGGGGAGAAACCGAGAAGGTTGGCGTTGGCCTCTGAGCAGAGCGCGCCACCTCCCGGCGATCTGCGGGAGCGCGGACCGCAGGCCGCCATGGCGTCGGCGGCTGCCTCCCTGCTGGCTCCCTGCAACCGCCAAGCGAGAAAGAAATCCGGTCGGCCGTGGCTCACTCACGGGGTTGAGCCTTCTAGAAGAGGGGTTTGAGCCTTTTACCCACTTTCTTGGGTGGCGTTAGTTTCTCTATTTGTGCCTTGTCTATCAAATTACCGTCATTATTATTTTGGCTGTGGATGAAATGATCAAAGATTGAGTTGCTTGTCCCTTAATGGGTCATTGCTAGTTGGGGGCATAAGTGGGGATAAAGGGTTGGAAGTTGTGTGTGAAAAACAATTATTACAAGGAGTCTCCCCCACCATGTTCAGTCCAGCCTGCTTCCTAGTGGGGTTGCAGTGGCCGATCCACAGCCCCCAGGCTGAGCAGCGAAGCTGGGCTGGAAGCTCCAAGACACAGAAAAGCTTACTTCTCCTAGGTCCCTTGGAAATTTGGAATCATCTTCCTGACCTCATCATCCTTATCCCAGGCCTGAGAATGGCAGATCAGGACAGGAATCCTAGAAGGCTAACACAGCTGGAATTAAGTGGCCTAGTTGCCGAAAACACTGCTGCATCAGCCGCCCAGGGTTGCTGTAGTTTGGTTATTAATATGTGCCTGAGAGTTTGGGGTTAAAGCAGACCCTTCACCTTGTCTCCATATGCCAACTTGCACCACTCCAGGCCCCTTTCTGACAGCTGGGCAGTTTGAATTTGCCCATGGACCTACCGCCTTCCCTGGGAAGGGGTTCCCTGGACTGGTGGCGTCTTGCTGAGCAAGCTGGGCAGCCAGAAACCGCTGCAGCTGGGCTCCTTCTGCCAGGAGCTGTTTTCTTTAAAAATAAAAAAAATTTTAAAAAAAGGGAGAGAGGGAGGAGGAAGAAGGAAAGGAAAACAATGTCTGCAGCTAGCTGCATGGGTAAGGGTGGAGGTGGAGAGAGAAGGGCCGTTTTGGGATAAGAGAATGAGATCAAGTGCCTCATCACCTGCCCTCCTGCCCTTGAGTCTCCAAGGAGCAGGGGAAAGTTGTGCCCTTGGCCTCACACCTACCCCAGACTTCACATTCTCTTCCTTATCACTGAGCTCCTATTTGAGATGGAAAGAGGTACCTGGAGCCTTCAGCTGCATAGTGGAGAGATGCCCAGTGGCCCCATTTTTTCAGTTTCCAGAGCCACAGGCCAGGAGCAAGAGCCACGGCCAGAGACCAGGGGCCTCACCTCACCAAGGACACAAAAGCTCTGCTGAGGCACTCAGACCGGCCCAACTCAGTCACTGCAGGGGCTTTGGGCAAGGGGCCCTCAGTGGTGTCCTTCCTGTCCTGGACAAACTAAGAAAGTCTACAGACTAAGAGGGAAAGGGCCCCTCTCCATTCTGGATATGCACCAGGAGAGGCAGTTGTGAGGCTTAGCATCAGGCAGGCACAGTTCTGGGGCCTGAGCAGACCGATGGTTCTAGCCTTTATCTCAACAGTACTTCCATGGAGTCCAGGTGGCTGGCAAGGCCCTGGGGCAGCCTAGAGCTCCTGAGTTCAGGCTCAGGAAGGATGGGGTAGCTGGGATGTGGGATGGGGAGGGGAAAAAAATACGGGGGAAGATTGGAGGTGACTGAGCGGCGAGTTTTCATGTCTTTATTATTATTATCATTATTAATAATATTAATATAATTACCGAAGTATTTCACGTCCAGAACTAAGACAAGACTACAAACACAACACATAGAAAATTAATAAAATAGAACTTTGTTTTCTTCTGAGGCTTCTCTTCTTACGTCTAGGTAGTATGTGCTCCTTCCAGTGGCTTTGGGGAGAGGGGAGGAGGGACGACAAGTCTGGGGTTAGGGATTCTTCAAGGCCCCTGCTGAGGGGACAGCGAATCTACCATTGAACCGTGCACAGGGGACATGGACGAAATGAGACGAGACACGGACAAGAGCATTTTGCTCTGCTTCCAGGAAACATCAAGTGAGTCCGATCCTCATTTCTCACAGGGAGCCTGATCGGGCCAAGGCTGGTTCCTCTGGGAGGGAGGAGGCGCTGAGGTGCCGGGTGGGCTCAGGCAGCTGGGCCTCGGAGCACTAGGCTAGAGCTCTGCGGACGGGGGCGAGCAGGAGAACACTGGGCCCCGCCTGTCGCACGCTGGAGAGCAGGTCCCTAGGCTCCCCCGCCCGCAGAGCCTTCTCCGGGCTCTCCGACGCCCTCAGCTCCCCACAGGCCTCTCCCTTCGCGTCCCCCCTCCCTTTCCAGCACCTTCACTCGGCTGGTTTTTCTTCCTCCTCCTCCGCACTGAGCTGAGACGCACTGAGCAGTTTGCTCTCCTTTTTCCACTTCATGCGCCGGTTCTGGAACCAGATCTTGATCTGCCGCTCGGTCAGGCACAGGGCGTGCGCGATTTCGATGCGCCGCCGCCGGGTCAGGTACCGATTGTAGTGAAATTCCTTCTCCAACTCCAGCGTCTGGTAGCGCGTGTAGGTCTGGCGGCCTCGCCGGCCGCTGGGCCCGAAAGAGGAACCTGTTACGCAGAATGAAGACGCTGAGGCCTGGGGTCACCGGGCCCAAAGTCCCCTCCCCCATTCGACCCTTAAACGTGGACTACAGCCTGTCCCGGAATGCCCTCTCTCCCCCCATTTCCTTCCCCACTCCTCCAGCGCCCCCTCCAGATTCCCTCCCGGACTCCTAGGCCTTTGCCTTCTGTCTAGACTTCTGGTGGGGGAGGGGAGGAGCACTTTGAACTCCCACCTGAGTTTAGGGGAGGGGCTGGCCAGGTGTGTCCCTTCCTAGCTGAATCCCCCCACCTCTTTTCATTTCCATCCATCTAGCTCCCCCCAACTCAATCCACCCAATGATAGATTTGGGCCTTTAATCCATAATGACGTGGATCGATCCATAGTCCGCATCAAGGGCTCCTCACTTTCGTGTCCCTCTAATGGATATCTACTGGGACTTAAGGCCTACAAATAATCTAACCTGAGACCCAGGAGCCTACTTCAACGTCTCTCCCTGCTCCATCTGCTCCTATTCTTTTTAATTCTCATTCTTCCTCCTTCCCCGGGACTGCCACCCTTTTTCTGGTACCCCATCATTTCCCAGCCCTACCCGCCCCCCACCCCACCCCGGGAAACAGCCCCGGACAGACTCAACTCTCCGCGTCACAACGCCCCCACCCCTTGCATGACGCACTCAGTTTTTAATGGAGCGGTCTTTGGATAGGGGACCCGATCAAGACTGGGGGGTTGGGGAATGAGTGAGGGGCGCAAAGAAAAACAAATCCATTGACTGTGGCCCCTGTTCCCTTCAGGAACCCTGGCTCTGGCCTGGCTCTCCAGGAGAGCCCATTCACTCCCCCTGGCTCCCAGTACAGCTGGGACTTCGCAAACTTTGCAACTACTGCGGAGAAGAGGACAGTGAGCAAGACCCCGTGCAACGCCCTATCTGGCTCTGTCTTCTGAGATGCCCACCCAGCAGTCCTGGGGAGATTGGGGGTGGTGCTCGCTAATTCATCTTCCAGGGTTGTGGCCCGCGAGGGAAGAGACTGAAAGTCTCACTCACTGTTGCACGAATTCATCCGCTGCATCCACGGGTAGACCGGAGTGGAGCACTTCTGCTCTTCTGTCTCGCCAAACACGCTCTTGTCCTGCGCGCAGTCCGACTTCCGAGTCTCAGGGTGGAACGGGGGCGGCTCATCAGCGCCCGAGAGCGCGCAGGCCGACTCTTTCTCGCGGTAGAAGGCCGGGGCGGGCCCGTAGTCGCAGGGCGCCGCTCGGCCGTAGCCGCCGCTGGCTGGTGGGTAATAGGAGGAAGTCGCAAAGCTCTTGTCCTGGCCGGGCCCGGGCCCATAGGGTGCCGGGTAGTGCCTCAGCGGGTCCGCATAGCCCGATGAGTAGAGCGGTAGCTGGCCCAGGAAGGACTCCTGCCCGCTGGCCAGAGTGACGGGGAAGGTGGAGTTCACGAAATAGGAACTCATTGGGAGGGGAGGCGCGCGAGGCCGCTGCTGCTCCGCCGGGTTTATGATTTGTTGTGTTTTATAGTCCGAGCGCCGCGCCTATTAGTAGTATATCCGAGATTGGGTTTTAGCTGAGGGGGGATGGCGAGGTGCCAGTGAGGGCCAGAAGGAAATACAACCATCTGATCCAACACTGACCAATGGCAGAGGCAGGAATTGTCAAATAGCACCCAGGAGGAGCGCAGCTCGCACGAGGGACCCGCGCACAAACCTATCAACCTTTTTTTTTCCTCCTTCTCTTTCTCTTTTCTCTCTCTCTCTCTCTCTCTCTCCCCTACAACACAACACGTCCTGTTCCACCTACGTAAGATCTGCGAAAGAGGCGTCTGTGCCTTTGAGGGAGGAGGGAGCATTTGGTTTGAGACCACCCCATTCCTCAGTGATTAAATAAATACATCCCTCCCCCACTCCACGCAGGATAGGAAAAAGTTAATTGTGTTTTCAGAAAAGTTAACCCCTGCGTTGCTTGGACCTATTCCCTCAAGGGAGGGCTGGGCAAATGTCTCTGAACCTCCTCAAGAGAAAATTAAGGGAGGTTGGTTTCTAGGGTTTTGTGTTGGCAGAAAGAAAGCAGAGTTATCCACTAATTTGCATCGTTTCAGAATTCGAAAGGGAAGACAAAAACACCCTCCAACCCAGGTTTTGAAAATCGTTTTTCCTGTTTATCAGGTCTGCTCTCTCTTCTCCAAGTCTGGGTTTGTTATCCCTGCTTCCCCCACAACTCTCATGGTCTGAGAGAGCAGGCCAGATCCTCTGCCTAGAAGACACAGAAGAGGGGGAAATGGCAGCAGGGCATGAGCTCAGGCTTCCTCCTCTGCTCTGCAGCTAGGCTAGTAGCTATTTCAAAGCGTGAGGCTCCTTCCCAAGACATCCCACCTAGTTAAGGAGAAACCCCCAGCTTAGATAGCTTTATTTGTCTGATCCCTATCCTACCTATAATCCTCACTCTGACCCTGCCTCCCACCCAAAATGATACAAGAATGTCCTGGGCTATGGGTCTTTAAGAATCAAGGATGTTCCAGTGAATCTGGGGACAAGGAAGAGATTGTACTGATACTGACAGCGATCAGAGGCCACCGGGAAGAGCCCTGGTTTCTTTTTAAGATCTCTCTAAAAGCTGACACTTCTTAAAATTATTTCCCAAGACTTGGTTTGGGTTTAGTTTTATAAGGAGGGAGGGATGTTCAGGTCCTCCTGGGGACTTAGCAGCCCATCTTCCAGTCATCAGCCCATATCTCCTCTCCAGGCACTCAACCCTTCTATTTCTAAGCCTCTCTACAATCCCCTCTCTTGCTTCATGTTTGTATCATTAGCTTTGCTTCTGTACAAGCTTGGGTGTGAGAGACTATGTACATCTCTGTGCCTTCTCTATTACTCAAAGAAAATAAGCATTGAACCCAGACTAGGAGAGAGGGCCCCAGTGTGTTTCCAACATTCTAATAAGCACTCACAGGCTAAGCAGTGAAGGGTGACAACCTTCCCACCTGGGGACAAGAAGGGGTCAGGGTGTGAGACAAATCTGATATCAGGCCAGACTGATGCACTTTTGCCTCATTCTTTGGACTCCTTTTTGTCGGCCTGCTCTGCCCACTAATGATGGAAGGTGGTAGAAGGCTGAAGTTGACTGAGGGTGGGGACTTATTTCATTGCAAAATGTTATTTGAGGCTCTCTGAACTCAGGTAAACTTCTAGGCTGCACCTTCATGGCAAAGTGGCCATCCCTGGATGTCCCTCCAATCATTTCCTAGCCTGACTATCTGGGGGTTATGATGAGCATTTTAAGACTGAAACTCAATCCCCCAAACATGCCCTAATCTCTCTCTGGTTGGGCACATAGGTAGGGGCTGTTTGAGCAGGGGTGAAAGGTAGAGAAGAGTGCTTATATGCACTGACCTCTCCACTGAACTGAGGCTAGGCCCTGAGCCTCAACCCTCCTCCCTGGTCACAGTGTCCCTACCTTAGGACTATACAGTGTGGTCTTCCCTATAGAGTAAGGGCAGAGAAAGAGGCAGTGAAAGAGGGGGGCCCTTCCCCTGTGATAGAAGCAGGAAAATATTTGCCTTATCCTTAGAGTCACAGTTCCCAAATTAACCTCACCTCTGCAGGTTGCCTGTTGGGAGATGGAGCCACTACAGGCAGGGCCGGCGCCTGGAGTCGGGCATGAAAGGAAATAGCGCCTCATCGCTCTTATCTAAGCCCAGAGGTATTTATGAGCGTTTATTCGTCTGATCCGTTTGTTTGGGAAAAAGAGCAGGCAGGCATGGCCTGGCCAGAGACTGCCTGGTTTCTGGAGCCAGATCTCCACGAATCTGTCTGTGGTTCGGTCCATGTTCCTCTGTCTCCATGGGGGAATATGTAAATACACAGCAGTCTGCCATTCTGTGGTCTCCCCCCTCCCTTTCTCTCTCTCTCTCTGCCTCAATTAAGAAGTGTATACAGAGATGTGGGTATAAATGTGTACCAAGTCTCGAGTACACAACAGAGGGGTGGTATGGATCCCTACAGGCGGAATTTATAATTGTGATTTTCTGTGCTTTGAGTGCGTCTGCAGTCCTGTGGGTAAGCATGTACATTCCAGTTCCCAGGAAAATGTTTCCTAAGTTGTGTTCAGCTCAGGAGTAAAATTCCCCTCCTGGGTAACCTCTAGGACAGGCATCTGCCTGTAAGGAAGGGGGGATTGAGACATTGTCCAGGCTTCTCATTTTCTAGACTCTATTCAAAGCCCCCTTCCCAGCTCTTTAGATTATGGGCACCATCCTCCACCCAACCCCCAACTTTGCCTGGGGTGGGGCAGATAAAAACACCTCAATTCTCCGCATGGATTCTGATTGCCTGGGGTTGGGAAACAAATGTTCGCAGAGGTTCGGTGTGGTTGCTCCCATAGGTAGAGAGAGGCCCTTTACATTGGACATTTTGCCTTAAAATCGGCTGGTCCAAATCCAGGTACAAAGACCTCATTTCCATTATGCAAATGAGCGACATCCTCTTTGATCTCTAAGGGGAGTGGGCGGTGACGATCAGCGGCTCTCCTTGTTCCTTTCCCCTGTGTCCACAGGCACCCTTAAATCCCCTGGTGTTTCAAGCCTCTGTACCAGCCTGAGTTCCCTCCCTATTTGTTATTCCCATTGCCCGAAAGAAAAAAAAAAAATCTCTAAGGGGCCCAAGACTTTCCCGCCCGCTCCCTCTGGGCCTCCCGCAGAGCGACTCACTGAGCCAGGCCATCCAGCCGCCAGAAAGTCACTCTCGCTGCCGAAAAGCTGAAAGAGCTGCCCCAGAGGCCCAGACTCAAGAGGCGCCAAGGGGGCCGGAGAGGTGGTGTTTGCCCCAGCACTGCCGGGCGCCTAGACCTCCCCAGCTCCTCCAGCTCTTGGTCAGACTCTAGTAACACCTCGGCTTGCCTGGCACCACAGGCAATTTCCTGAAGCCCCCGCCCAGGAATTGGAGCCGCGCACCTTGAAAGGAGCGGCCAGAGCTTCCTCCTGCGGCTTGAAAGCCCGAGCTAATCAGTAACCCGTGAGACAGGGGCCAATACTCAAACGCGGCAGCAGCAGAGGAACGCACCCCGGCCTCCTACCCCCTTCTGGGAAAGCAATCGCATTAAGCGGGTGTGTGTGGGTCCCGCAGAAACAGAAATTCCTTCATGATTTATCCCCACTCCCACTCTCAATTTTCCCCCAAAGCATACTTGCGTCGATTTCTCTTGAAGGGATCAACACTCGCAGACACCAACAATTTCCAGAAAACTCGGTTCAATTCCTTCACCACGGACCCATCAGCTAAGGAACTGGCAAGACCTACCAGCCAACTGTAAGAACACAGACTCGGTTTGTCTTTTGACAACCAAGTGGAACTGCCGGGCTGGCGACTCTCCTGACCGGCCCCCTCCCTTGGCTGAGAAGAAAACCAAATAAACCTCCAACAGCCTTGACTTCAGATCTCTTCCACGGCCCAGATCCTCTCTGGTGCCTTAGGTATAGGGTGGGGGTCACGGCTCTGATCCCCCGACCCTTTGGTTCAATACCCGGGTCCCAGGATTGCAGTATCAGTCCTCTCTAATATGCCTTCAGAGAAGCCGCTTCCTCTGCCAGCCTCCAGGTTTGGGATTGGGATGGGTGAGGGTTGGAAGAGATTGGAGAGGGATTGAGGATAGTGTATGGGGAGGAGGAGATTTATTATGTTTTCAAATCACATCTCTGAACCAAGATCCAGCCGACAGCGTCGGTATGGGCCCGAAATCCCCTGAATCCTGCGGAACCCCGCTGCGAGAAATTCCAACGGGCACTGCAGGGGCAGCGTCGTCTGGCTTGCAGCACCTAAGCCGCGCGCTTGTCTCTGAACGGACGGTAGATGGCAGCAAACTGCATAATTTGGGTCAGAGCAAACTGTCTAAGGGACGATTTATAACCCGCCAAGACTACGGGAGAAAAAGACCTTTAGTCTGGGTGGGTTTGGGGAATTTTCCTGTTAATAATAGGCCCTGAGTACCGTGGGCGCTAACGAAGAACTTCTTTTGCCCCAAAGCCAAGGAGTCTCTCTGGGATCCCAGCCCAGGCTTGTGCCTAGGGCATCTACTTGGGCCCCCAGGGACACCCCCTCCCGTGCCACAAGTGGCTGTGTCTCCCTCTCCTTCCAGTTCAGGACTGAGAAGGCCAATACACACATACACACATGCACACAACTAGACCCCCCAAGCAAACAGGCCTGAGTCTGAACGCCCTGCATCTAGTCATAAGAAAGAAAAAACAATAACCTATGGGTGCAAACCAAACTAAATCAGTGTCTCCCCAACCTCTGTGCCCAACAGCTTGCAGCTTCTCCAGAAGCCTTCTCACCCCATTTTTTAGTCCTTACCTCCACGCCTGTTCCTTCTTCCACCTCACCAGCTACTTTAGGAACCTGTCTCCCACCCAGCAGTTCTTCTCTGCCATCCCCCAACCCAGAAGGCCTGACTGAGGGATGAAACCATGCACCAGAGCAACAAGGCTAGCTGTCTGGGCTCAGCACCAGACCGCTTTCCAGTCCTGACACCACTCTTTTAATTTTCTCCTTTCTTTGTTTTCTTTTTGTGTACAAGACTAAAACAACATGCTAAATAGCTCTTCACAATCATCACGTTTGGATCCAGGAAAGTTTGAAATATTTTCATATCAGACATATATGACAATTTTCTTCTCCACTGAAAACCATATGCCCCATACCAATAAAACACAAGTATTAGAATCAATATTGCCCAGAAACCAACATGCTATAAACCACATTAAAACCACAAAACTCACTCCCTGCAGAACGAGGTTCCCTCTTGCGGAGTGGCGAGAGACCTGAACATTCTCAAGCAGACTTCTTGGGGAGTCTCCCTCCTCTGGGGTGCCTCCACCCACAGCCCTTTAATTCCGGAAATGTCTCCGAAGGGAGATAGTGAACATTTCTCTGTGAATTGTTCTTTCTGTGTCTCTCTAGCCGCCTCCTCGCCCTCTCTGGCCTCTGCGGAGATTCCAGGCCCTACGGAGACCAGGACGTCCCTCAGCGCCACCGCCCCTCGTGCCAATGCTGCTGGGAAATCGCCGATACCCGCACTGGGCAAGAGAACTGCGCGGGGGCAATTGGGGGAGGCCCGGATCAGGGAGGGATGGTGAAAGGGGGAGGGAGCACAAACCCACAGGGGTTGTAGCGACTGGCTTCTTCCGGCCAGAGCCGCTGAAGCCCAGACACCCCCATCCTCTCTTTCGCAGCCCCCATGCTTGAGCTCTCCTCCCAGCTTAAAAAGGAGACTAGAAGCTGGGCTTCAGTGGCCCCTTTCGGTTTCCCCTCCCATAATCTCTGATTTTGGATCCCCCTTCAGAGAGCGGCCACCCCTCTCTCCACCACCGAATTTCCTAGGAAACCTCTCCCTGCAGCCCCAGAGGTGGGGTTCAGCCCCTTCTTGGAGTGTGGGGGGGAGAAAAACCCAAGCCCCACCCCCTACAAAAGCGATGCAGAAGAATATGAAGAGTATTGTAGAATCTCCCTTACCTTTGAAGACCTTGGCAGATTTTTCCTCCGGATTGAAAAGAGTGGGAAAGGAGGGGGGAAAAGCGTTCGGTTTCTTCTTTCAGCTTCCAGATAATATTGTCCCAACCTGAGAGCCGTTGCTTCCCCTTCTCTGACTTGGGAGAGAGGGTGTTTCTTTTTTTCTGACATTTACTTAGAAAATGGAGTATGTTCTGGCTTTGAAAAAGGGTATCAGGCTGCAGTCCTGAGTAGATTGTCCATTTACCCTTCATGATGACTAAAATCCCAGATCAGCAAGCAAATTAACTTAAGAATCAAAATTATTTTTGTTTCTCTCTTTTGTGTGTAATTCCCACCCCTCCTTCCCTCTCTCACTCTCTTCTCTCCTCTCCCCCCTCTCTCCCTCTCTCTTTTGCTCTATTGAGCTGATATTGAAGTATAAAAATATCAAGAGGCTGGAGCCCTGAAGGACGACAGTGCTCCGACCTAGGTGTGGTGTCCAAAAGAATGCTGCATTATAACCACCAGGGAAATGATAAAAAGTTCATGTTCACGATCGCCCGGCCACATGACCGGCGCTGGCCAATCGCTGGATTCAACCACTCATAAACTTCTATCACAAAGTTGTAAATTTTCATAAAACAACAAGGAATTTATTGCATTTCTTCATGGCTGCTCCACCAGCAACCCTTTTCTCAGTCGCCATCTTCTTTTCTTCTCCTTCTCTCTTTTTGGGAAACCCCAGTCTGAGAAAGGGTGAGATTTGGAGTTCAGGAATTCAGGATGGAGAAGTCACAAGGGTCCAGCTAGGAAGGGGGTTCTTTTTGGAACCTCCCTATTTTCCGAAGGAGCTCTGCCTCTCTTTTCTAGTAAAGAATAACCCCAAATCCTCCTCATGGGACTATTCTAAGGCAATTTGGAGGTGAGACAGGAGTTGCCATCAGCATCAAGGCAAAAATGAAAGCTTCAGTAGTTCCTTTCCCCCTCTGACCTGACCCCCTCGATCTTAGTCCTAAAGATAGTAGGAATCCCCCACCTGTGAGGCTTGCAGGGTTTCCGGTGTGGGGCCCTAAATTCCCTAGGGCCTAGTGTTTGCCCAGAGGGGAAGGTGGCCTGCAAGGGAGCCAAGACCCAGTAGTTCTTCAACTGGATTCTCCCATTCGGCACCCCAGAAATTGGGGGAGGGTAAAGCCGGATCCCAGCCTTTCCCGCCCAAACGCCTGCTGGTCCAAGTTTCCAAGCACCGGTCCAGGCGCTCTCCAGGGGGTTCTCTGGTCTTTAATGAAGGAAACTACAGGTTTAGGGACCTTTTACTTTCAATTCAATTTAAACAGATTTTCTGAAAACCAATCCTCCAATCCCCTTTCTGTTCGCCATGTCTATTCTTTAAATTTAAACAATGCAGGGTTTGCAATCAAATAAATGCTTTTTACATTTATTCAGCTCTGAGAATCTAGCTGTAGAGGTACCGTCCTTCAGAGTTTTGGCCTATTATTGAGGCTCTGCTGAGCAAAATAATAACAACAACAATAATTCATCCCGTGTTTTCCAGGTTCCCTAAAATATTCCTGAATTTTGAATTGAGCTATCAGAACTCAAATACAAGAAACGAAATAACCTTCCCCCAAATGTTTCTCTCTTTCTCTCTTTCTCTGTGCTCTTGAGAAGATTCCAGGTTGCCGGCGGCGCCGAACAGGCAGAAAAGCGAAGAGGAAGCACCCGGCGGTCGGCGCGGCCAGGCTCACGGCGGCCGGGATACACTCACACCAGCCTGGTAAATTCTCACCGCTCTCGCAATCGGGAGTCCTTTTGCCCATTTTTAAGGTTTATACGGGTCGCCTGTGTCAATTTAGAGTGAGACAAATTAAATCAAATGAAAGTAAAATAAACGGAAATAAAAATAAAGGAATAGCTCTTGACAAAAAAAAAAAAAAAAAAAAATGTTTGCCAAATGAGCAGAAAGCTGGGTGCGGGTAGTTCCTCTGGGCGGGCCGGGAGGCCTCTGCACGCGGGCCTGGCCTCTTCCCAACACAGCCCAAGAGGCAGGACTGGATTTGGGTGTTCACCTTCCCTTACCATCCGCCCTTCTTTCTCATAAGGCCTAGCATTTTGGATTTCACCTCTGTATTTGTAGCCAGGGGGCTGCTCAGACCCCTCAGCCTTTTTCGAAGGCCTGCATAAGGAAGAAAGTTTGTGGAATTGCAAGATTTTTCAATTTTGTTTTGTTATATTTTGTGAGTGTGTGACTGAGAGTATGGGGTCATGGATATATTTACTTGGGGGCAAATGTGAATCTCTGTTTATAAGCCAATGTGTGAATGTGCATTGGTATCTATCAGTGTGTCTGAGTGACTGTGAATGTGTGTTTACTTGTGAGTGTGTGTGAACTTGAATGCATTTGTTCTGGGCATGGAGCCCTGATTGTATGAATGCCTGTATGTTCATTTGTGAACATATGAATATGGTTGTGTTTATTTGTGACTGTATATGACAGTGTATATATGTGTGATGTCAGCCTGTGTGTGTGTGTGTGTGTGTGTGTGTGTGCGCGCGCATGCACTGGTATATATCAATATGTGTAAAAGAGTGTAAAGGGAATATATGTGCATATGTAATATTGGGGTTCCCAAGTTGGCAGTCCTAGAGCAAGGGGTCTGGGGGGCAGAGAGCAAGCCCATACAGAAAGGGTCTGCTACAGAAGGATGAAGGGAAGGATTCTGGGTCACCCACCCATTACTAACCCTAATCCCCTCCCAACCCCTGGGAGACACAGAAAACAGGACACCTGCTTATTTTTAATTGTTTTATTTTTTCATCCTTCAGATACACATAGAATGTAAAGAGGAGCACCCGTGGGGCGCAGGGAAGTGTTGGTGGGAGCAAGGAGCAGTAATCAGGCAAAGGTGGGACACTCCAGCTACTGAGCTACTGGTAGGGTCCTTAGGGCTCCCTAATGCCCTTTTGGTGTTGCTACTAGGAAGGCCGAGGCTCAGGTACACGGGTGGGAAACAGGCTGCACTCCTCCAGACCCACAGTCCACAAAGACAGCATCCAAGGGGGTTTACAAAACAGCAAAATTTTGCAAAGACCTTACAATAGCCACATAGAAAAGGGGAGGCAAATTTTGAAAAGCTACAGAACAGTAGATATTGTACAAAAAACGAACCCAACAGTTTCCTATAGGTAGTATTTTTTTTTTACAGTGTTGAGAAACCAAAATTTCACCTTTTTCTCTCCATGTTTTTTTTTTTTAAACTGCTTTCATTTAAATAGTTTTTTTTTTTTTTCACCCTTTTGACTTGAGTTTCCGAGTTCAGTTCCCAGAACTGGAATTCTTCTTTCCCTTGCTCTTCTCTACCTTCTTCTGTCCTTCACTCTTCCTCATCCTCCTCTGCTTCAGCCTTGTCCTGGCCGGTGATTCCTGGGCCTGCGGTCTTATTTTCCTTTTTCCACTTCATGCGCCGGTTCTGGAACCAAATCTTTATCTGTCTTTCGGTGAGGCAGAGCGCGTGCGCGATCTCGATGCGCCGCCGGCGGGTCAGGTAGCGATTGTAGTGAAATTCCTTCTCCAGCTCCAAGGTCTGGTAGCGGGTGTAGGTCTGGCGGCCTCGCTTACGGTCGGTTCCTGTGCACGGTATTTAGAGAAATATCAGTGAGTGCGGGAAACCTTGTTGAGTAACCATCTCGCTCAAACCTAGCAGGGTATTTGAAATCTATAGACAGAAAAAGTCCATTTCCCCACTAAAGCAAATACTTGCTTTCCATATCCTAACCCATACTTCATGCTGTCCCTCAATGTGAAGAACTTTCCTCAGCCCTCCAAAGGTAAACACTTCCATTCTTTTTTCATCCTGGAGCTTCTGAAACTAGGAAGACCTCACCTGCTGGCTCTCCGAGGCGCTGTTCCTAAGGGGTTTTTATACGGAATGAGGGGAGGTTAATCCTCGGTCTTCTCTGGGTCCAGGGGCTCCAAGCATTCCCTTTTGAATGTTGACACTAATGGTCTTTGGGGTAAGATTGGAAACTATACAAGTGACCTTGCAATAGGGTTCCAGGCCTTGCCTATTTCCCAGGAAGTTAGGAGACAAAGAGGCCTCACAGGCTGGGGGAGGTGAGAGGGTGTTGCACAGTCTGTTGTGGAATGAGGAGGAGGTGAAAATTGGCAGATATCTTGGAGCATGGAGTTGGTCTGGAAATAGCTGCCCTCTGATGATTTTTTTTTTTTTTTCCAGTAAGTGGCCAGGGTTCAGCTAAGGCCTGGCTGCAGTCCCTGCCTGCCTGTCTGCCTTCCTGCCCACCCACCTGCCCAGACAACCTGTTATCCAAAGCAATCTTTGGGCCTCCAGGACAGCAAAGGGGGTGAAAATAGCAGCCTGCGATAGAATGAAACATGGTGTATATATGTGGTGGGGACTGAAGGGTAGATGGGAATCTCCTAACTTAGGCCCAGAATCCTGAGGATACTTGGGGGAGGAGCTGGCATCAGCCCTTCTGGAAAGGAGACAAGGAGAAAAAGTAACTAAGGGCCCTAATTTCAAGTCAAATAAAAGCCAAGTTGAAATGTTTATGAGCAGAAAAATTAGGGCTTTGATAAATCAAGTAGAAAGACAGTTGAATTAGGGAGCAGGTAATGGGGACCATGACCACCAATACTGATGATGTAAGAACTGGGCTCCTCTTGGCCCCCAACAATGGCTAGGTTAAGAGCTTCTGACTACAGGCTTGTAGGGTCTTCTGGATTGTAGGGTTGGCGTTCAAGTCCATCTGTCCTGGGGTAGTGTAAAATATATATATATAAACCAGGCTTGGCAGGAAACCTAATAGAAGTCCTGGTCTCTTGGGGGTCCTGAAGTAGCTATTAGGTGGCTCTGCACTGAGGCTTATTTGGCTCCTTGGAGTCCAAGCCCCTCCCCCAAGAGGAGACTCACCCTTCTAATGACACCTCCAAACTTGTTGGCCAATTCTCTAGGTGCCTAGGAGCCCTAGGAAGGAACCTGGGAAAGCTAGCTATATTTCCATGAAGGCTCTGTCTTTTCTTTAGTTTTCCTGCCCCCCCCCCTCCCCGCCAAGTTCACTGGAGGATTAGGAGCCTCATGTCTCTTGATTTCTGCCCCCCCCCCCCCGCATCTCTGGCTCTGTGTCCCTGGCTGGGTCCTCAAGTCTCCTACCCACTCCTCCCACCAGGCCTCTAGAGCCCACCTCTAATTGTTCTAATGGGAATAATAGGGGAACGGGGTTGGCTGGGAAGGAAGGGGGAGGGGAGAACTGCTTAACGCTATGGCCCCCTCCCCCATACCTTATCCAAGCTGGGATGGGGATGGGGGACACACCCAGAGCTGAGATCCCAGGCGGAGAAGGGGGTGGGGAGAGGGGGAAGACCCTAATGGCTATTCTCTGCAAACCCCAGCCTTCCTTTTCAAGACAAACGGCCGCGTCTCCAACCCGTGCCGGCGCTGCTGATAAATATTTAAAGCTAAAAGGCCTGAAGGAAGGGTAGGGGGCGGGCTGGGGGCTCTGCGCGCCGCGGCGTCGGCGAAGAGAGATCCGCGGGGAAACAGAGCAAGCCTAGAAGCACCGAGGAAAAATGGGGGTGGGGGCAGCGCGCCAGGTCGCAGCCAAGCGGGGTGCCGCTTTTCCAGGGCCGATCCCGGGCGCGCGGAGCACTCTGGACGCGGAAAGGGGAGCCTAGCCCGGAATGGGGCACCTTCAGGGGAATGTGCCCGGGCCGCTGCCGCTAGGGATGGCTCGGTGCGCTGCGTTACCTGAGCTTCGCATCCAGGGGTAGATCCGGAAGTTACTCTCGGCCGCCAAGTCCGAGTCCCTCTGCTCCTTGGCGCCTGCCGCTTTGGCGGAGTCGCCGGGACACACCCCGGAGAGGTTCTGCTCAAAAGGCGCGCAGTGCATGTTGAAGGAACTCGGCTCGAGCCCGTAGCTGGCCGCATAGACGCCGGCCGCGCTCTGGCCCGCCATGCCCCCCCCGCCGGGGTACAAGCCCTGCATCGAGGCGGCGAAGGAAGTGCCCGAACCCGCTCCATAGCCCGGGCGCTGGGGGTTGGAAGCAAACGCACAAGAAGTTTGTTCGGGGAAGGCTCCGGCAGCGAAAACCGAACTTGCCGCTGGATATTTAGAAAATAAAGCATTCGCATAATACAATGAACTCATAATTTGGCCGGATGATTTGTAGGCAGGGACGTTTTAGTGTCGGTTTTACGAGATTCCTTGATATATTACAGAATTAGAGTCCAGATTTACACCAAAAAGGACCCCCTTTTTCCTCTCCAGACCACGTGACTCACACCCACGTGACATCCCCTCTGCCAATGGCCTGACGGCCTCCCCACGGCTCCCGGTAATGTGGAAAAAATTGTGTGGCGTTAGATTTATAAAATATGATCAATAATGAATGGGAAAGCCGAACTCTGTGGATTGGCGTTGGGGGCTCAAGGGCCGCTGTCGACCCCCGCGGGCTGGAGGCAGCTTGCAGGCGAGATTTGGGGAGGAAGGAATTGAGTTCAAGGGAAAATAAATAACCTCTGAGCAATCCGTGTTGTCACCCCCCACCCGTTTCCCCCAGTCCGTTACCGAGCGAAAGACAAACGCAGAGATTGAATGCGCGCAACTTGGTGGGTGGGTAAGGGCACATCAGGTCTTTATTAATTCGAGCTAATTCATCTCCGCTAAGCCTTTAGGAGAAGTTGGTCCGATTCTCCCAAGGTGAAGAACGAGGTGAGCATGGCCTCACGGCTCTCTCTCTCTCTCTCTCTCTCTCTCTCTCTCTCTCTCTCTCTCGGTGACCCACATATACTGTCGGAGATGGACCAAGGCTTCGTAGGTGCTCTGAGGCACGGGATCCAGCCCACGGGCGGACACTGTGCTTTCTGATGGCTAAATAAAACGGATTGGAAAGTTTGAAGAAAAAAGAAAAAAAAAAAAAGGAACGGGGTGGGGGTGGGGTGAGGAGAGAAAGGAAGGGAGGAAGGAGGCCTGGGGCTCGGGCTCTCTGCTTTCTTGGTTCCGGGAGGCGGATGCTTCAGCCGAGCGTGGCTGCCAGAGAAGCAGAGGCAGAGAAGGAAGGAAGGCGGCGAGCCACCGCCTCGGAACTGGGCAAAGAAGGTCACATCTCAGAGAGGCAGAGGTGGGGAGGAGGATCTCACCTCCCCTCCGGCTCCCGCCCTCCACCAAAGTCTGAGAAAAATAAAAATATAAGCGTGCTCAGCAGCCCTGCACTTTCATCTTTATCCGCCCCCCTCCCACGGGAGGACACACACTGAAACAAAGAGAGAAGTGGCAGGGGATACAGTCACCAACTGGGCGCATCTCTTCTTCAGCGCGGCCTGGGCGCTGGGGTCTCTGGGGCCGGCAACCTCGGAACGCGAGGGGAGGGGGTTTCTCTGGGCTCCCTCCCTCGTCCCTCTCTCCTCCAATCACATGCAGCCGCTCCCTCACCCCCTGCGCCCCTGGGCCGAGGGACTCGCACCACCTGCCTCCAGCCCCCGCCCCCTCCTCTCTGCGCCTAGCCTCAGCGGGCCCAGAAGCCTGCTGACCCGCAACCCCCAGCACTGCAAGGCGCCTGGGAGCAAATGAGGAGCGCGGGCCGGGCGGGTCTCAGATTCTCGCTTGTAAACTTTATTGTAACTCTTCCGCCCTTTTCAGGCGCAGACAACAGAACAAAGTATAGAGGAACAACAAAATATATAATTAGCCCTCCCTCCCCCCCATAAAGCAATTCACGGATACAGGATACATTCTCTTCACAGTAAACCTAAGAACACTTTTAACAATTGCCCACAGCGCGCATGCTAACTAAAGTAATCTCTTTTGAGAAACACTTAAGACAAAATTGTCAAACCAAAGGGGGTGGGGAGGAAAAGAGAGAAGCAAGAGAGAAAGCCAGCGAGCTAGGCAGGGCAGCAGGGAGAGAGGGGTTGGGAGGGGAAATGAGGACGCGGCGAGAGAGGGAGAGAGAAAGAGAGAGAGAGAGAGAGAGACAGAGAGAGAGGGAGACAGAAAGAATTACGGCGTGAATAGGCAGTTTCATGTTGTTGGGAGAACTTAGCAGAAATCAGTACCTTCGGTCATTACAAAGAAGCACGTTCAAAGGAAATAAAGACCATTGCACAAGGAGGCTTTTTACACGGGGCGGGGGTGTGGGGGTTCAGTCGGGCCACGGCCGCTCACCCTCGCAGGGCGAGGGAGTCCTTGCTTAAAATCCTTTTCTTTTTTTTCCCCCCCGGCCCTCAAGAGAAGGGAAGGAGATCCACGGTAGCTCACACACAGAAGCTATTACGAGATACTACCACTAGCGGGGACTGGCGCGGCAGGGGACGCTGCGGTGGGAGGCCTGGCTCCTGGCCCCGCTCGCAGGGCCAGAGCTCTCTGAGGCGGGGGCGGGCGGGCGGCGGCGGCGGCGGCGTGGGGAGACCCGCGGACTTGCGGGCGGCCGCGGCCCTGGTAGTCCCAGCTGGAGCCTACTTCTTGTCACCCTTCTGCGCGTCGCCCTCGTCCGCCGCCTCTGGGGCCCTCTCCAGCTTCTGTTTCTCCAGCTCCTCCTGCTCGCATTTGCTGCTGGGGAACTTGTCTTTGTTATTCTCCTTTTTCCACTTCATCCTCCTGTTCTGGAACCAGATTTTGACCTGTCTCTCTGTCAGTCCCAGCGCATGCGATACCTCGATCCGCCTCTTGCGAGTCAGATAGGGATTAAATAGGAACTCCTTCTCCAGCTCCAGGGTCTGGTAGCGGCTGTAGGTCTGTCGGCCTCGCCTGCGTCCGGCGGCTGCTGGGAATGGGGGAAAGGGCGAGACGGAGGGGAGGGGAGGGGAGAGTGGGGGAGGGGGCAGAGGCAGAGAAGGTTGGAAGATTCGTGAATCAGCCTAGTAGACCAGTATAATAAGAGCAGGGGACCTTCTACCCCGGGCGGGGTGGGGGGTGAGCATGGAGGCAGCGGTGGGAGGGGGGGCGAGGAGAATTAGACACCACTGAATCTAAGGGAGTCAGAAAAGGGGAGCCCCCTCCTCTAATAGCCAGCCCCAGAGTTGGGTGGGGGGTGGTTGAAATCTATTAAAAGTACCATAAAGTTTAGAAGGAAGGATGTGAAGGGAGGATAAAAATAAAAAAGCTGTGGTGGGGACTAATGGACCCACCTTGAAAAGCCCCCAGAGCCTCTGCCCCAGAAGAAAAGTTTCTTCAGGGTAATTAAACTATAAAGCAATTGAGAAGTGCAAAAGTTGAGAGCGCCCCCACTCCCACCACCCTTTTCTGCACTACCCCCCAATAAAACAGTAAAAGGGGGGAAAAAAGGAGGGGAAGAAGAAGAAAAGTAAAGTAGGGTGAGGGGTTTATGGCTTCAGGAAATGTCGCTTAGCGACCCCCCTTCAAAGGAAACAAAAAGGGAAGAAAGGAAGGAAGGAAGAAAGAGAGAGAGAGAAAAAGAAAGAGGCGTAGGAAATTGGAATAGAGCCGACAAGTCTTGCAAGAGCTGGAGGAAATGCTCCCCTGGCCTGCCCAGCCCCCTGACCGGCCCTGGGCCCTCCCGGCCCCTTCCTGCCCTGGCCAGCCCCTACGGGAGCTCACCTTGCGGGCGCATCCAGGGGAAGAGCTGTGTGGGCGACGGGCTCTGCTCCGAGCCCTCGGCCTCCTCTCCCAGGCCGCTGGCGGCGGCGAGCTTGCAGTCTGCGTACTGCACCAGGTCTGGATCTTGCGCACCGAATAGGCTCTGGCGCTGCAGCGGGTCGTAGCCGTAGAAGTTGCCCGGGTCCCCGTGGCATGCCACGGCGCACGGGTTCTGCTGGTAGGGAGCCGTGGACAGCGACGATGGCCCGTGGTAGAACTCCTGGATTTGCGACGGGTGCTGGAAGCTGCCGCCGCTGCTGGGACCGTACACCACGGTGGGTCGGCCGCCCAGGTCCTGGGCGAAGCCGCAGTCATAATAATTGGGGCGCAGGGACTCCCCGGTTTTGTATTTGGAGAACAGTGAGTTGACGAAATAAGAGCTCATTTTATTGAATTTTGAGGCGGCGGCGGCGGCGGAGGCTGTAGTTGGGGGCTGGTGGGGAGGGGGTGGGGAGGGGGAAAGGGAGGGAGAGAGAGAGAAAAAAACGCGGATTCGCCGGCTCCTAGTCACCCTCGCCAGGAAAGGAGAGGGAAAGGGAGGAGGAAAAAAAAGAAAAGAAAGAAAAGGCGAAGAAGATCTCGAAGCCGCCACACTTTTTGTGATTTCCAGGAATAGAAAAGGACAGAGAAGCCTCCAAAAGTCTAAGCTTGCACGGCAGCCGCGGCTCGCTCGCCCTCCCCCCACCCCCCACCCCCCAAACAAAAATATACCGCCACTTAAAGAGGTCCTCGCTTTACATTTCGAAGAAGGGATGCCAGTTCATAAACAGTTTTCGGTGATTTACTTCCCTGCAAATGAGTTGTTTCATATTTTGCACTGTCTTTTCATGATCATTTGCATCCATTAGAGACCCCGCATCCTATTGGCTTCTCCGTACTCCTCCCGGACAGAACGCAGAGCGAGGGTGAGAGCGAGAGAGAGCGAGCGAGAGAGAGAGCTAGAGCGAGAGAGCGCCAGGGAGTGAGGAGAGAGCGGAAAAAAAAAAAAGGAGGGGAAGAAAAAAAAAAACACCCAGGGAGAGAGAGGGGAGAGGGGGAGAGAGAGGGGGAGAGGGAGAGGGGGTGAGAGAATGAATACGGATTAAATCTGTTTAACTACCTACATTAATGAGATATCTCTCGCCTCACAACAAATCAAATACCTTCGCAGACCACCCCCAAAGACTGATGTGGGGGAGTCACGGAAAAAACCACACACACACACACACACACACACACACACAACGCGCCAGGCGTAGGCACGCTGTTAATTTCGCGATTTTAACGAGGCAATTGGAGTCTTTCTAAATGTCAGGGTCGCTTCGGAAAAATGTAAAAGAACACGGTTTAATTGCGCCGAGTTTTAAAAGGTCCTATAAATGTAATTGGTATTTTAATACAAGTTATCAAATCATACAGCTTCCTCTCCTAAACATATTTTCAAACAAACGAGGTAGTCATATTTAAAGCTTTAATGATCAATTTCCTTATTATTGATAAAGGTTTAACTATCGTGTGGAGGGAATTGGCTGGGTTACCGGCCCCCAAAAAACGGCTGTAAACTCTTTAACAAACTATAAAACGCAATAAAGCCGGAGTCTGTTGTTGTTTATGCCGCAGCGCATAAAAGCTGTTAGCATTTTACGAGTTCTTTCC